TGTCTTTTGGTTGGTGCATTTAGTCCATTTACATTCAGTGTTATTATAGAAAGATATGGTTTAGAGTCATTGTGATGTCCGTAGGTTTCATGCTTGTAGCGATGTCTCTGGTACTTTGTCTCACAGGATCCCCCTTAGGATCTCTTGTAGGGCTGGTTTAGTGGTGATGAATTCCTTCAGTTTTTGTTTGTTTGGGAAGACCTTTATCTCTCCTTCTATTCCGAATGACAGACTTGCTGGATAAAGGATTCTTGGCTGCATATTTTTTCTGTTCATCACATTGAAGATCTCCTGCCATTCCTTTCTGGCCTGCCAAGTTTCAGTGAAATTGTAGTCTTAAAGCTGTGGACCGTCAGCTTCTGTCATCCACTTCTTAGAGCAGTTGTTTGAAAATTGTTCACATTCTGCTCTAATTCCATACTCTCGCTTCGTTTTTGTTCACGTACAAGTAAATCTACCATGCTCCACCTCTACCTCTGCATGTTTTCGCGTACCTCAATCTCAATAACTATTTTCATCAGTAGGATGGAAGTCTGAGGAGGTCCAGAACCTCACTTCTGCTGCTCACTGCTTTCGCAGCAGGGCCTGAATGGGAGTGCTTTGTGCTCTCTAAATGCCTGCTAAAGGAATGACTGAATCCTCTCCTTGTTTCCTCTCGCATCTCTCCTCTTTAGAATATAAGATTACTTCCGTTTGAAGAACTTGCTCTTGACTTCGCTGCCATTTCCCCCACGCTTCTCATGGTTCACTTTTTATTTTTGTGAGAAGAGGCATCTCTCCTCCTGATTTACTAACTTCTTGTCTCTTCACTGTCTTGAGGCTCTCTCTGTGACTTCTCAGATTTTGCTTTGAGATGTGCCCTCCTCATTGACCTTTGTTGGTTCTTCAGTGTCTGTGACATCTCAGCAGCACGCTGTGTTACTGACAGCACGTTCTTGGAAATCCCCTCTTCACTCCTTTACCTTTCTGACTTTTCTTTCTGAGTTTCCTTTGTTGATGTCCTTCAGCTCTGCGGTGGTGAGCAAAACAGAATAATTTTTCTCTCATCCTTTGTTCTTTTCTCTCTGCTTTCTTTGCAGTATCCTAGGTGCTAGGTTGCTCTTTGACCTTAGCTATTGTCTCTGTGTGCGTGATTACCAAATAGACACAAATTGCTTTTACTACTCATTTTGTATCGTTTTAAATATTTCCTGTGTGCCTCAACCTAAACTCCTCTGTCAAGTTAAACAGTATGTTTGAAATTTGGGATGCCAGTGCTAATGCCTTGGGCTCCTGTCATTAGGGTGTCACTTCTGAAACTGTATGGAAGTAACCCTAATGGCAAAGGATAGCAATTTCCGCTGTGTTGCTTTCCTTGTCTGGAATGCTCTTTCCTTTATTCTTTTCAGCTTCCTTTCTCCTTTTAAGATCAAGTTTGGAAACCTGCAGTTCACAAAGATTTCTGGGGTGACACCAGACCTTACTGACTTTCTGGGCTTTGAACTCCCTCCATACTCATTTATCTGTTACCTGGCACTCTTCGTATACTTGTGTCGTATTGTGTTGTAGAATAAATCCTCTTTATTATAAATGTTTTATCTCACAGATACTCTGTAATCTTAGTCCTCTTTGTACTTGCAGTGCCTAGTATATAATCAGCACTTAATAACGTGTGCTGTGGATGATGGCTTCCCCTTTGCATTTCCTTATCTTGTTCCACTTCTAATACTGAGATTGCTTAAAAATTAATTTTTCTTATCACCAAACAAACATTTCTCTTTCATAAATGAAATGGAGTGCTTGGACTGAGCCGAATGACAGATTTTCGATAGCCTGATTGCATTTTGCTTTGCACTATTTTTAGTACGTTATAAAGGGCTTGGAATGACTGTTGGAGAAGTAACTTTCCTCTGTCTTTTCAGTGTCTTCATCTTTTGAGTGTCATCTAAAAACTTGGAATGAAAGAATCATGATAAGAGCTATGGGATTCTGTGCAGACACACACGCAGTTTTGTATGCGGTGGGAGAGATGGAGTGGGGGAGAGAATATGAATAAATAAAAATGAATGTGAGGACACACCGCCAAAGCCCATATACCACCTGGCAACTAACGTTGGGAGGATGCCGGACCAGCCCCGCAGAAGAGTAGTTGTGTCAAAGGGGTGGTATCTCATAAGGATGTCATTTTAAGAGCATTCCCCCCCTTACCCCCTGCAAAAAGAAACCTACCCAGTTGTTTTTATGATAAATTGTTGTTATAATCAAGTCCTCAGCAATATAGTAATGTGGTAGACATACTGAATAAAGAAGATCTAGTTAAACTATGGTGTCTTTTAAAAATAAAGTATAAGAAATTAGCTGTGGTTGAAATTTAGCTCTGTGTAGACGGAAAGTCTGGGTTAGTTGGGGCACCTGGGTGGCTCAGACAGTTAAGCATCCAGCTCCTGGTTTGATCTCACCGTTTGTGAGATTGAGCCCTCCCATTGGCTCTGTACTGACAGTGCAGAGCCTGCTTGGGATTGTCTGTCTCCCTCTGTCTGCCCCTCCCCTGCTCATATTCTCTCTCTCTCTCTCTCTCTCTCTCTCTCTCTCTCTCTCTCTCTCCCCCTTTAAAAGAAATAAACATTAAAAAAAAATCTGGATCAGTAGAGGGTAATTCCAGGCTCAAATGAGGGGAACAAAGGACTTCACCTACTTATTTACTTTTTTTTTTTTTTTTTTCCATAGGGAAGTTGAAATACTGCCTTGTGGTTCTGAATCAGCCAGTGGACAAATGTGTTCGTCATCTTTGGAGCAAAGGTAATCTCAATTAGCGTTCACATTTCTTTACTTTCTTTACTCCTTGTAGGATGAACATGACTATTAAATATTCCAAAATCTGACTGTCATACCAAAAAGTGTAATTCCTAGCAAAGTGATTTAGTTATTGAATTACCAGGAGAATAAATCTTTTCTTAACCAGTTTCCACTTGTGGTTTCTGCATCATGAATCCCCAAGGACAGAATTACAATGTAGCATCATTATACCGCATTTCTGATCCACCCTGTGGATGTTAATCCTGAGTACTTACTAAGTGTTTGTTGAAGTGTGAATAGTTTTGGCACCAGGGACAACAAAAAGCATCCTCAAGCCTCACTCATCCTAGCATCCAACAATAAGATATCTGCAGGGTAACCAGATTTGCAAAATTAAAAAAAAAATGTTAACAGGGTATTAGAATCTCTAGGGAATGCTGAAAAATAGAAACAGTAGTTTTACAGAATTCATATTTCCATGAGTTTTCCTGTAAAAAGCAGCCTTTATTAACTTTTTTTTTAACACTATTCTTTGATTTATTTTTTTTTTTTTACATTTTTCTTTGATTTGTATAGGATTAACCCTAGGCTAGAAAAGATTATTAAATACCATTTGGTGTTTTGAACCTCTGCTCTTCCATGAGATTTGAGTTTTTTTTCCAAAGGGATACTTCCGCCAAGGTTGCCAATGTAAGTTACAGGCCAAATTAGATAGACAGAACCACATGATTGTTGATATGCTGATGCGTATTCCAGATGACTCTCTCTAATCGCAGAATTCTTTAGTATTCTCAGCATCCAACTCGCACGTCGTGGAATGCAAACCTATTAGGCCAATAAGCTCACATCTGCGGACAGGGGTCCTTGTAATACTAGAGGGAACATATCATCGTGGATGATTTTGTGTAAGGAATTGTTCTTGTCTTGTGTGATTACCGTGAAAATTCTTGATTCCAGATTTAGCTATCTTTATGTGAGCCCACTGAAAATGGCACACTGTTACTGTACCAACACTGCCCTGAAAGCTGGCAAGTTATCTAACCAGAAGCTTCACTCTCCTCGCACTTCTCACTTGGTTGTCATTAGGTAGTTACTCAGGGGCCCTACAAAAAGGTCTTTTTTTTTTTTTTTTTTGTCACTTCAGTGCCTACTGCTGTGTCTGTCTCATAATTACTTAGTAATTATAACAAAGGAAAGTGAATTTGAGGAGTGCCTGGTGGCTCAGTTGGTTAAGCATCTGACTCTTGATTTCAGCTCAGGTAATGATCTCACTGTGATTTGTGAGATCCAAACCCACATAGGGCTCTGCACTGACAGTGTGGAGCCTGCTTGGGAT